AAACAGGGAACAGTAAATCAGGCCAAAGAGAATAGAATTCATTGTATGTAAGAAGAAAAACCCCTCAAATAATCAACAGAACCAAGAATAAGAAAATTGACAATTTTCATAATGCATTTCTACAACTGTCAATTCTAAGTGTGATTTAAAGACCTAAATCAACTTCCTAGATCCTCAATCATTAAAAAAGTGGGAGGGGCAGAAAAACATAAATACCTTCTCACTGAGTATATAGATACAATATATAGGTACATCCACAAATGCACACATACACACACACACACACACATATCCTTTCTGATAACTTAGAATATTTTCCACTGAGATTCTTGTAAGAATAAGGTAGATGGAGAATAAATCTGACTTGACTGCCTACATGATGTAATGAAAATATCTTGCCAACTCAACCTGGTGAAATTAATTTTCCTAAATTTATTTATTGTTATTTGGATTCAGGCCATATATTCAGAAGGTACCTGCTCAAATCCAAGTATGTTCTTAAAAGTAACGACAAACACTATTAGGAGCCATTAGCAAAGAGGAAATAAAGAATAAGATAGGTCACTCTACTGGGGGAACAATGGGAAAAAATAGTGCAGAGTTCACTAACATCTGGGCTAGGTATACTGTTTAGGAAATTGTCTTTAGAGACTGAAGTACAAGATATTTTCTGAATAAACACATACTGTCAAACACTATCCATCTTTCGTGCAGCTGTCCATAATCTGGAAAAACCATTTAGAAGTAAGCTGGAACAAAACTTCAAAGTGGACTCACATTTGGAGAGGAAGGATGGAAAGAGACTTACTTAGAGGAGGGCACATTCTTCCAGTTCATGGTGCTTCGGCTCATGGGGGTTTTAATAATGCTAGCTAGCCCTGATCTTTGCAAACAAGAACACCACACCTACTAATGGATATCCCCAGTACCCAGTTTTTCTTTTTCTTTCTTTTTTTCATTATATCATTGTTGTACTGGGGGTACACTGACTTATTTTTTTGTGGTACTGGGGTTTGAACTCAGGGCCTGTACCTTGAGCCACTCCACCAGCCCTTTTTTATGAAAGGTTTTTTCGAGATAGGGTCTCGCGAACTATTTGCCAAGGCTGGCTTCAAACTGCCATCCTCCTGATCTCTGCCTCCTGAGTAGCTAGGATTACATGTGTGAGCCACCAGTGCCCAACGACATTGTAACATTTGCAAAAGTTCTTACAATATATCATAGTTAAATTCGCCCCCTCCATCATTCTACTTTATCCTCCCCTCATCCCATTTCTGAAATAGTTTTAACATGTCTCACTTTTCCGTTTGCATACATGAGTACATAATATTTCCACTACATTCAGCCTCTTTCTCCCTTTTCTTATTCCTCCCCCTGCCACTGGTACCATCCCCCAGTCTTATAGTCAGTCATATTATGACTATCCTTTGTGGAAGATTTTATAACTTACAGCATAATTGATATAACTATCCCTGTTTACTTCATGAAATGTCACAGCTTGGAAAAGCAATAACTGTGTTCCTTGAACACATCAGTCTATAGGTGGACTCCTCCCATTGTATCTTAGAATTTATGGTTCTGCCTTCCTTCCATATGAGTCTTATCTCCTATTAAAATGATTTTTGTATCCTCTTAAAATTCAGCAGAAAATTTAAATCATCATTAAGTTAACCTGCCTTGTGGTACTGTTGTGTTTCATTCTACCAGTCATTTCACAGTACTTTCATCTTTAATTTCCTTGAGAGTGTATATCATAAGGCAAAGGCAGTAATTACCCAGACAGATTCTAGGTGTTAAATATTATTCAAACAAACCCTGTACATGTCATCCACAATAAAGAGCAAAGAAACAAAAGATTGCAGTGTTTCATTCCAACCCCAACACCCTCAAGAGAACAGAGATCACAAGGCAAATTCAGAAATATTTATATACTCCCTAAGCTGTACAGAGAAAGTTCACAAGAACCTGTTAAAGATGCAGCAATGAAACTCAGCATTTAACTGAATTTCTTTGGAATCTTGCTGTTTTCTGCAATTAAAAGCCAAGTGGAAAATATGTCATTATTAATCCTATGTCAATAGAGTTAGGTTTCAAAGATAGCTCTTCCACCACCTGGGCCTCAACAACAATCCTACAAAGAAAACCTTCCTGTAGGAACTGTGTGGCTCATCTGGTTGATCCCCAAAGTGCAATCTCTTTAAGTCCTTAGAGTCTCTCCTGTATCATTCCTCCCTGGGGACTATTTGAGATAAGGAGGAACCCAAAGAAAGGCTTTCTGCTATTGTTGAGATGGAAGCAAAGAATGATGTGTGTGGCATGCTTGTAGCTGACCACAGTCTCACATATAGGACTTAACGTGTATATAACCCAATGATGCTGCATACTCTAAAGAAAAGACAAACCAGACAAGCTGGCAGATGCCCCAGTGGGGAAACTTCTGTCATAAATTCATCTACCAGTAGGCTTCCTAAGTATCATTTTATCTGTTCCATTTCTGCTGTCATGAAATCCAGCTCCCATATCTCCAAATCCTCCAGTTCAAGTCATTCTTTCCTTCCTCCAGTTTTGGTATAGTGTGTGCTCATCTGCACTGGCCCATAATAGCTTCTGCCTTGTGTCATGCCCAGTTCTGTTCATGTCTGTCTCCTCCTCCAGTTTGTTTCTGAGAAGAAAAAGCTAAATCTCTTATATTTTTATATTTCCCATCTTAGGTGTCGATAATAATAACAAAATGACATTTATTGAACACTGCTTATTAGCTGGTATATTAAATATCATCTCATTTAATTGTTGCAGTTCTGTAGCCTGATGGTAAAGAATATGGGCTCTGGAGCAGGACCACCTGTGTTCAAAGCCTTTTTTCCTTGTTATCCATCAAATGACCTTGAAATAGGCAGGATTCCAGTGGTTGTCAGCCTCAACTCTCTTCATTGAATTAGATACATTTAAGAACCAAAGTTGTTACTGCTCCTTCTCACTAACAGTCCTAATTAATTTGTGTTTTAGATTTTTAGACAAATAAGTGGAGATTTAACTAATCACACAATGTACTTTTTTAATATTTCCTTAATATTTTGTCATCTTCACAGACTTCCACATAAATCTCTTCCACTGATCTTCATGCCATCCATATAAAGTGAACGGCATGATGTTTTTCTCCATTTTGCTCATGAGTTCAGTGAAGCAAAAGAGATCTTCTAGCCAGATAGTGACAGAGCTACAGTGTGATGCCACATCTACATCAATCCACAGGGCTCTTGCCAGTACCTTCCCTGTTGCACCATTCAGCAGTGTACACATGGACTCACTAGAAGGTACCAAGAACCAAGTGCTTTGCTAAAGCTTTCTATGCCTCAGGTTGTCTGGTAACCATAGCAATTGTCGCTCTCCTCATGGCAATGAGATCACCCAGCACACACTTACTCTCAAGATTTGAGTTACAGGAGATGAGGCATTTTCCATAGAGGGCCATTAAGTCTGGAATTCCCTTCTCCTGGTCTGACATAGCCCTGGAGTATTGGTCTTCTGGGTTTTTGCAAACCACATCAAGTTGAGTTAGGCAGTTGTGCTTGGTGAGAAATCCTAATGGGCAGGAAGAAAGGGCTAAATTAACTTTCAGTTGTGAGCAATTTGTAATTTTGTGTTTTTTGCTGCTTGTATCCCTTAGGATAGCTATTCAACTGAACATAATTCTCCTTCTTTAAAAATAAAAATTTAGTCTACAGTTCTCATGATTTTGTTTCTGTGTTCTTACATCATATCACGAATGATGTGATGGAGAAATCTACAGGGAAGTTTTTGTTTCTTTTGCATAAACTATTTTGCAGTAATTGATCAGCCATAGAAAACAGATTATCTCCTGTGCACTCACGGTAAGCTCTGTGGTCACCAGAGACCAATAAGCTGTGTCCCTAGAACTATTATCACTTTGTTGAAGAAGCTGCTATGTGAACAAAAACCAGCCTTCGTTAATTTCCCTTTTCGTATTTAAAAAACCTTGTCAGAGTTTTCCCCTTGGGGTGTGTAATTTGTCAATAGTGCATATTATTTTAGTTCTGAAGAGGAAAGATATGGAGTAATATGTCCTTATTAGTTTCTCTAATTTATCCTTATGCTAGACATTAGTATGTTTTCAATGAATAAAATAAAATTTTTCCTTTTTTAATCTTGCAGTATGCCTTTTTTATTTTATAGCAATATAAAATTTTAGAAATCTAAAATGCTTTGAAGAGTAATTAGAATTCCACACCCTCTCCTCCCCTCTGAACACACACATTGAATTGATGGAAGTAGTGAGACCTGAGATGTTCGAGCACTGGCCTGACCTCACCTAATGTGCAGTGACAGAATAGCAATATGTGTTCTGTCTAATGCTCTTCCTGCTGCACCCCACAGTGTGTGTATCTGCATATATCCCAAACTATTATGTGACTACTATGAAGGAGGTTGATCCTTAAATGACCCAATTAGAACTGGTTGATAATGCTTATTGCTGAAGTCAGATTTCATTCCAATGTTATAAGAGCCCTGAATGTTACACCTCCATTTCACTATCTGGTGTTTTTATTCACTCTCCTGTGTAGATGTAGAAAAAATTAAGAGATGGTAAGTAATACATAATAAAAAGGAATTTGATTAAGCTTGAGTATCATTGTTTATTGGCATCTACATTGAAGGTGAAAAATATTGTAAAGAATGGACTCATGAACATACAGCTACTTTTTAATGGTTTAAATTATCTCACATGTCTAGTAACTAAACTGCTATTACACATTATTTTTTATTTTAAAAATTGCATATTTTATTTCCAGCAATAGGAAAGGATCTTGGGGTTCATGCTCAGAATAAAAGAATAAACATTACAAGTTAGCCTGACCTCAGCTGTCAGTTTATTCATCATGGATTATGCCTTGGAAAAAAATGGTTCAGGAATTGGTGGCCCTGATATTGGATTGCATGCACAGATACATTCTAACTACTCACTATAAACTGTATTACAGTTTGTTTCAGTGTTGGAAGGGGTGTTGTCTAAGCTGTCAAGGTATGATGAAGGCTCTTTCTTCTCATCCATTCTGTCATTCACTGTAAGTATTCAAATGAGTTTTCATGCTATCTTCTCACTGTTATCATAGCACTTCTATAGTGGTTAAGAAACTAATTCTCACAATTATCTTTTTCCCATTTAAGGTAAAAGCAGCTGCAAAATATGTTGATGTTCCTGTAAGTACTTTTTATCTGTCTTTTCAAACTATTTATAATTCTCCTTCCACCTAATAACTACAGTTCAACACAGGTTTATTTCAAATCTTTAAACCAGTGCCATTCCCTTAGGGAGTAGTTTATTTTCCTTAAGCAAGCATTAAACCTCATAACAAGGTGTGGCAAGATTATTTCAGTATATGTTTTTGTTGTTCTTGGAAGCTGTTAAAAGATCAGGTCATCATGAGAACATGAAACTGGAGTTACAAAGGAAAGTTACAGCACTTTAGGATGGGACAGAAAATGCCTCACACTGTAAGAAAAAAATGCTTGCTGTCCTTTCCCTTTAAATGAAACATTTCTTGTAAGAGGTAAAGATAGTAATGAGGATGAGTCTGTTAAATCAAAGAATTTGTTTTCTAAATACTAGAGTGTTGCAGATCAATAGTTGTTTATTTTAGCATTTTGTTTTCCATGAAGTTCTTGGAAAATAATACATGTCCTATAAATTTGTTCAAACTTAAGAGGCTATAAGTAAAAATCATGAAACTTACTTAGCTCTGATGAAAAAACTCATGGTAACCATTTAGTATAGAATTTTTAGCTGATCATTGCATCAAATTAATTTTGGCTTTAAATTCAAACACACACACATACACGATCAAGGTCTAAGGTGCTCTGTGTAGTCATGTATTTTGCCTATGTATCAGTTTTCAAAAATTTGAACACAGTGAGCATAACTTAAAATTTAAGACCTGATGGAATATAGTTCATCTCTCTGCAACTGAGGGTTGTCACATCTCTAGTTCACCATTATGTCTGTTAGCAGTTTTTCTGCTGGCAAACCTTGAGTATCAGTTGCAGGTGGCTATTATTTTTAGAATACATAGCAACATTTTTGTCCCCAGCATTATTGCTGTTGAAATCATAAATGAACATTTTTTTTCTTTTTCTTTTATTATTCATATGTGCATACAAGGCTTGGGTCATTTCTCCCCCCTGTCCCCACCCCCTCCCTTACCACCCACTCCGCCCCCTTCCTCTCCCCCCCACCCCCTCAATACCCAGCAGAAACTATTTTGCCCTTATTTCTAATTTTGTTGTAGAGAGAGTATAAGCCATAATAGGAAGGAACGAGGGTTTTTGCTGGTTGAGATAAGGATAGCTATACAGGGCATTGACTCACATTGATTTCCTGTGCGTGTGTGTTACCTTCTAGGTTAATTCTTTTTGATCTAACCTTTTCTCTAGTTCCTGGTCCCCTTCTCCTATTGGCCTCAGTTGCTTTTAAGGTATCTGCTTTTAGATGAAAGGTCCTGAGCATTCCTACCTTCCATGGGGTTAGTTTGGAACAGTATTTTTTTTTTTTATTTTTAAGATTACTCATAAAGAAGTCTTCAGATAGTGCATGTACCTAGAATGAAAGAATCAGTACTGGGCAATAAACAGAATTAATCATACATACAGGGTCCTGCAAAGCAACAGCACAAAAACCAAGGAGGAAGAATTAAAGGGAAGGTTTTAGAATTTATGTCTTCAGAATGAGACAAGTAACTATGTATACATTTGAACTCCACTGAACTCCTAACATCTTAAGATAAGTTTGAGTTTTATTTTGAATTACAAGTGCAATGAGATGCCATAATTATTCATGTTCTAAGGATTTTGAAGTTCTTTGTTTGACTCTACTAGATTTGTTATCCTGATAGAATTTCAAAGTGCAGAAAGGCAAAAAATGCTTCCTTCACTCTTCTTTTCAATGCAAAAAAACCCTCTTCTAACATCCTTCACCAAGATTCATTTGGACTCTGTTTAATTACTTCAGTGATCATGGACTCACTGCCAGGCAGTCTACTCTTAAATATAATCAGTTGAAGTTCTGTACCATTGTGAATTCTACTGTTAATCTTGGTTGAAATCCTTCTTCCGCATGATAGTTCTTCAAATATGTGATGCTACTTATCATGCCTCTTCTTCCGAGGAGATAGGGTGACTATTCAAATGAACTCTTAATTTTTAGATTAAACATCCTCAATTTCTTCACTAAACCCACTAATTATTTTTTTAATTTTTTGTTATTCATTTATTCACATTTGCGTACATTGTTTGGGTCATTTCTCCACCCAGCTCCCCTCCCCCACCCCCTCCCTCCCTCCCCACCTGGCTTCCAGGCAGAACCTGTTCTGCCCTTGTCTCTAATTTTGTTGAAGAGAAGACATAAGCATAATAAGGAAGACAAAGCGTTTTTACTAGTTGAGTTAAGGATAGCTATACAGAGAGATTCCTAGCATTGCTTTCAAATACATATGTGTTACAACCCAAATTGATTCATCTCTAACTGATCTTTACACTGGTTCCTGATCCCCTTCTAGTGTTAACTTCTGTTGCATTAAGGTTTCTGTATTAATTCCTCTGGAGTGGGGACATCAAACACTTTTATATTTTGGATTTTCTACCTATTCCCATATCTCCCATATGTGCGCACCCCTTGTCATGTGATCCAAGCCCAACCACATCGCTGCATTTGCCCTAGATCTAAAGTCCGCTTATGAGGGAGAACATACGATTTTTGGTCTTCTGAGCCTGGCTAACCTCACTCAGAATGATGTTCTCCAGTTCTATCCATTTACCTGCAAATGATAAGATTTCATTCTTCTTCATGGCTAAATAAAATTCCATTGTGTATAAATACCACATTTTCTTGATCCATTCATCAGTAGTGGGGTATCTTGGCTGTTTCAATAACTTGGCTATTGTGAATAGCACTACAATAAACATGGGTGTATAGGTGCCTTTGGAGTAACCTGTGTCACATTCCTTTGGTATGTCCCCAGGAGTGGGATTGCTGGATCATATGGCAGGTCTATGTTCAGATTTTTAGAAGCCTCCAAATTTTTTTCCAGAGTGGTTACACCAGCTTGCATTCCCACCAGCAGTGTACAAGGGTTCCTTTTTCCCCACATTCTCTCCAACACATGTTGTTGATGATATTTTTGATGATGGCTGTTCTAAGAGGGGTGAGGTGGAATCTTAGTGTTAAACCCACTAATTAAATATGTGCCTAACATGTACTGAGTGCTAGGCCATAGGAATACATAATGAAATTGCACATTTCTTGCCTTCAGTTGTTCACAATCTAGGAATGAGAGAGCATGGTAGACATACCATCGTGAGCACTGCTGTGACAGTCATAATGAGGCATTTCATCATGCCAACCACTGTATTAGATTTGTTTCAGTTTACCAAGGTCACTACTCAGTCAAGTTGTCCCTTGAACTACACCAAGATGTAGCCTGGTTATAACAGATTACCATAGGATGAGATTCCCCCTCAGATCTGGATATTAAACTTCTATTATTGATGCCCATAACTATTAACTTGAAAACTATGGGGTCCTGTTAGCTGTTACTCTTGTTTATACTCAAGGCCAACAAGTATGCCTCTCTGAAGCAGTCTCTTAAGGATTCTCATGAAAAAAAATGACAGTGACTTGCCTTTCTAGACCCACATGTAAAATCCAAAACTATAAAACTTCTAGAAGAAAATATATATTGCTCTAGGTTTACGATGATGAGTTTTTAGGTATAACACCAAAAACATAATCTATGAAAAAATGATAACTTAGGCTTAAAAAGTGATAAGTATACTACTCTGCACTATTAAAATATTGAAAAGACAAGCCACAAAATATTTTCAAAACACATGTGTGATTAAGGACATGTCTCCAAATTGTTCATAGAACTCAGTGCTTTATAATGAGAAAACAATTTTTAAATGGGCAAAAGATCTGAACAGATGCTGCAATAAAGAATACACACAAATATCAAATAAATCCATGAAAGGATACTCAGTACCATTTGTCATTATGGAAATGTAAAGTGAAACAAGGAGAACCACGGCTACAATCTATCACTCTTTGAGTTCTTGATGTCTGTCTAAAACCCTTTCAAGAGACAAGAGCCCAAAATGGTCCCAAGAACATTGATGAGAAGATCAAGAGCTAGAAAAAATTCCATAGACAGAAGTCATTACCTTCTTATGACATTGTCACTTGTTAGAAATTGTTTTAAAAGCAAACAAATAAAGTGAAAATTTCTATGAAGTGAAAATTATCTGTCAAATTAGGTGATATTCCTATTGTAAAAAAGAAGTTGGAATTCATGTTCCCAAAACATACTCAACTGAAATAATTTCAGTACCTCTAAAGATGCATTATAAGAGTTAACAAGAGAAAATAAATCAAGCATTTAAATTGCATGTTACTAACATAGTCTTTTGTATCTGTGTATTTTATACTTTTCATGGTACTTCTTTATGAAAGAAAAAATCATGCATAAAAGAAAAAACACCAACGTATTCCTAAACGGAAATAAATGCTAGTGTCTCAGCTTCTTGGCAAAGGAGTTAGTGGTATCCTTCATGCTAGCTTTCTGACCCATTGATGAGCTGTGACATTTAGGATCATTTGATTAAACAGCCTTTATCTTGGAGAATGCTGTTGGCGTTATACAAATAATGACTCCATCATCAAGCACTGGAATATTCATGTTGGCCAAGACCTCAAACATACTTAAGAATAAAAAGTTTTTAAAGCCAGACCTGGATGGGCATGAGTCTGTCCCAGTAGTAACTTAGGAGAGGGGAAACCAGAGCTGAGAAGAAGATCCAGTTTGTTAAATACAAGACCAAGGAATGATCACATTGGCTTTATAGAGAGGTGCGCTAGACTAAAACCCAAAAATTAGTAGTGTAGAAATATTATACTAACAACAAAAATTGACCTGTCTATATGATAGGTGTAGCTGAAAGCAATGTATGTTAAAAAGTTGTGTGAAAAATTATGTGAGACAATAATGTGGAATACTTGCTTTTAAAAAGCAGGTAGGATGGATCTGTACAGGCTCAATCAAGCTGAGGAGCCAGACTGCCTATGTTTGAATCTATACTCCTTCACTTTGCTTTATATCAGTGTGACCTTGGGTACCAATTTCTTTGTCTATTAAGTGGAGATATAATTATAC